ACTCACCTGCAGCTCCCGGGACAACGTCACCCCCGACAGGTCCACGGGCTGGGGGCTGTAGCCGTGGCTGGGGTCGTAGGTGGCCTGGGGGAGGACGTGGGCACCATGGGGTGGGGGCAACCCTATGGACCTCATTGTCCCCCCCCATGTATCTGGGGTGCCCTTTCACCACCCCATGGACCCCATTGATCCCCAGGTGACTGAGGTGCTCCTTCCCCATCCCATGGACTTCATTGAGCGCCAGGGGTTCTCGGTGGGGGGGGACGGACCCAGGCATCCAGACCCCACCTGGGCAGACTGGGAGATCTTGCGGGTCTTCTTCTTCTCCACCTTGTCCTCCTCGCCCTCACGGGCCTTCTCCACCATCCACTCCCAGGCCAGCATAGCCTTCAGGGACTCCTTGATGGGCCACCGGTAGATCTCCTTGTCCTGGGGGGGCAGATGTGGGGATCACGGTGTGCCCTTGGGCGCCCCCCAGCTGGGAGGCCAAGGAGGGTCTAGATGGGGCTGGGGGGTCTGGACAGAGCCAGGAAGTCAAATGGGGTTTGGGGGACGTTCAGAGAGAGCTGAGGGGTCTGCATGGGGTTGGGGTGGTCCAGTTGAGGTTAGAGGGTCAGGACTGGGCTGGGGGCTGGACAGACTGGGATGGGGGATCTCAATGAGGTTGAAGGGGATGGATATGGATGGGTTTGGGAGCATCTCAATGAAGCTGAGGGAGACAGATGGTGTTGGGGGATCTCAATGAGGTTGAGGGAGATGGATGGGGTTGGTAGATCTGGGCAAGGTTGGGGGTGTCCAGCTGGGGTTGGGGGGGGTCCCAGCCTGGTCCCAGCAAGGGACACACACATTACCTTCTCAGAGAAGGTCTTGTAGGGTCGCAGCATGGGGTGGGTCTTGGCTTCTTCATCCACCGTCTCCCCAAAAGACCAGTTGTTCTGGATCTGCCGAGTGATGGGAACATCATGGGCGGCTCTGGGACAGCGGAGGGGGCTGACATGCAAGGGTGGGGGGGTCCAGGATGCTCAGAGGAGCAGGAAGAACTTGGGGTGGGGGTCCCAGGAGCGCAGTGGTGTCACGCAGGTATAGGGGGGGACCATGAGGGCCAAAGGGGGGTCCTTGGGGGGATCATGCAGGTGGAGGGGTCCTGGGGGGACCACAGGGGTCTGGGGGGATGCAGAGACACCAGGGAGGTTCTGGGGGTGTCTGGCAGATGCTGGCAGGGGGGCTGGGGGGTCCCCACCTTGTCGAAAGCCCACTTCTCATGGGTGTACTCCGCATACTTGTTGATGAAGCCATCCAGCTTCTCTGGGATGATGACACTGCAGGGGGACGACGTGAGGAGGTCAGGGTGGGACCGAACCAGGACAGGGCCGGGGGGGGGCTTGGTATGGACCCTACTTGAGGGTCTCAACAGGCTTGGGGTCAAAGTTGCCCTCAGCATCGACAGAAGCCTTCTTCTCAGTCTTGGAGGAGTAGCTGGCGTCCACATAGTCGGGGGGGAGGGCACCAGCGATGGCGCAGAGGCACGGCATGGCCAGCTTGTACAGCTCCGCATCGAACCGCTGGGCGGGGGGCACAAGGGGTGTCCCCATCCCGCTCAGCCCCCTCGTGTCCCCATCCCCGTGTCCCCATGGCACTCATCCCCCCAAGTCCCTGTCCCTGCATTCTCATCATCCCCATGTCCTCGCTGTGATGTACCCATCCCCGCACCCGCATCATCCCCATGTCCCCATCCCCATTTCCCCATCCTACTCAGCCCCCTGTGTCCCCATCATCCCCACCACCCTGTCCCCATCCTTGCATTGTCATCATCCCCATCCCTGTGTCCCATCATTGCCGTGTCCCCATCATGCCCATCCCCATGTCCCCATCCCAGTCATCCCCATGTCCCTGTCCCCATGTCCCCATCATCCCCATCCGTGTGTCCCCATTATCCCCATCCCCATGTCTCCATCATCCCCATTCCCATGTCTTCATCCCCATCATCCCCATGTCCCCATCATCCCCATCCCCATGTCCCCATCCCAGTCATCCCCGTGTCCCCATCATGCCCATACCCATGTCCCCATCATCCCCATCTGTGTGTCCCCATCATCCCCATCTCCAGGTCCCCATCATCCCCATCTCCATGTCCCCATCCCCACCATCCACATGTTCCCATCATCCTCATCCCCATGTCCCCATCCCCACCAGCCCCTGATATCCCCACTCCCGCATTCCCTCCCTCCTCCCCATCCCCTGCCATCGTCCACCCCCCAGACCTTGTGTGCCAGGGACTCGAAGATGCCCCAGAAGAGCTTGCGGGTGAGGTGCAGCTCCTCCTCTGAGCTGACCCCCTGGTTGGGCCAGCCGCTGGGCAGGCAGTAGTACTTCCAGCACCGCTCATAGTGGTTCGTCAGCAGCTGGGGGGGCACGGTGGAGGAGAGTGTGAAGCGGGGGGGAGGATCCTCATCATCGGGACCCCCCCAGCGTCATCCCTCTCCCCACAGCTCACCTTGAGGGGCATCTTGGCGAACTCGTTGAGGATGGGGACATCAAAGACCAGGCGGCGGAGGAGATGCTGCAGCATGGAGGGACGGATGTACCTAGGGGGGGTATAGAAGGATATAGGGCAGGTGTAGGGGGGGACAGAGGGGGTGTAGAGGGGACATAGGGGGTGTGGGGAGGTGTAGAGGGGATATAGGGGGTAGGCAGGGTTATGGGGAGTGTAGGGGGGATATAGGGGGTATGCAGGTGTATAGAAGGAATATAGGGGGGTTAGAGAGGCTATAGGGCATATGCAGTTGTATAGAGAAGATATAGGTTGGTTAGAGGGAATATAGGAGGTATGAAGTGGTATAGAGGGGATATAGGGGGTGTAGAGGTATAGAGGGGATATAGGGAGGTGTAGAGAGGTACAGAGGGAATATAGAGGGTTGTAGAGCAAAAATAAGAGGTATAAAGGAGTATAGAAGGAATGTAGAAGGTGTACAGGGGATATAGGGGGTATACAGAGGTAGAGAAGGGATACGGGAGCATGCAGCCATATAGAGGGGATATAGGGGG